ATTACACGCTGCCGCATCATGTTTCGCTTTCTGCTGGGTGGGCTGATAAGACCTAGACGAGGTCGAAACTGCCGTCCATTCTGGATAGGAAAATACTTTGGGATGATAGGCTATATGAAATTTAATTTAAATGTAAAGTCTACTCATATCATTGGGGGAAAATTCAACTTCCAGTCCTTCATCACCTTAAACGAAATAGTTTGAACACATACCCTATATGCTTAACTATACATAAAATTAATCTAATCAATATGATAGCCTGCGAAGATGCATAACTAACTCCTGTTTATCATAGTAGCTAAATTTATTTCTAAAAATTTTAGTACAGCTAGTCGTTAAATACATACAAATTTAATTTTACTCAATAAAAACCAAACACTTTTGTAAAATATTTTCTAAAGAGATCAGTTTGTCCCAACTTAATCCATTTGGAGTAAATGGATGCTTTTAAAAGCTAGAAAGATGGATATTCTATAAAACAAATGTGAAGAGTTAGACAAAATAGCCTATCATATTTGCATCTAGTTATTTCACAAAATAATTTTTCAATTAAGTAATGATAATGCAAAAAAGGGAAAAAAGTAGTGTTCGTGATTAGAATTAGGGTAAATATTAACTTTATTTTAAGCAAAATGCTTATGAAATTTGGTTATAATATCTCAAAGCATATATAAGGAGCTGCAAGTAAGACAAATCCTCTATTATTGTGTAGAACTTAAGTCTATAGGAAAGAGTATGATAAAGAGATTAGTAGATATATCTTAGCAGACGATAACGGCTGATTACAGTCGTTCTGTGGTCGTTAGTCTCTAGTAAAACGTTAAAGTATTCACAGCTCACGAGATATACTCCCTTATTTTAGCTAAGCGTTCGTCATTAATATGGCGGACAGGCCTAAAGCTGAAGGCAATTTTTACAGAAGACTCAAGTAAAGACTAAATATTCTTAAAATTATCTTCTTAATTTAGTCTTAACTGCATATTTTTGCTAGAATTAGTTATAGCTATGATAATTTCAGCACCATGGCGCACAAAAGTTTAGATTGTATAAAAACTGGGTTTCAAAGAATCTCTTAACAGATTGATGCTTGATTACCTTTCATTTCGTTTAAAAAGGCGAATGGAAAGGATTCGTAAATTAGTTCTGATGGATTTTGGGGCGGTTGCCTTGAAGCTGCGGTTGTATATTTGTGCGAATAGGTCCTCGGTGCACCGCCCCGCGACCATAATAAATCATTGCTGAGCTTTCGGCCATCGTATGACGGACGTCGTAAGAGCAAAACACCATGCTTAACGATAATTCACCAAAAACACGAAGTAAAGAAAGGTGGCCGGTCTGAATATATCTACTTCTTATAGTCTAATTTGATCCACTTAATAAGGCATCTCATTTCTTCGTTGAATTTCCTACGCTTTTCCTAAATGTTTGCTCAAAAGTTAAGTTAAGTGCCTGCAGATGACTCAGTATTAAATCACGCAGACTACTTTATTAAATAGAGCATTACATGTTATTATCCATATTAGTATCATAATATGGTATGCATTTTCAGAGAGATTCAAGAATAATCTCATCTAGTATCTAAACCTAGTTATCTGATATACTATATTTTAAGAAATTAATAAATAAAATGGCCCTTTCTAAACTCTTCTGTGCAGATCAATCATTTTTTCTTAACTAATAGGTAGATGAATGAAGCACTTCCACAAACAAATATATACCCGACTGAGGGCTATCCCAAAGGAGATAAAATCTAATACAGACCCCATTTTTCGACTAAATCTTGTGTTAACGGAAGAATGGTTTTGACGATAACTTTTAGTGTAATATTTGATTACGAATGAATTAGGGCAAAAAAATAGATAAGAACTTCAAGTATGAAAATCAGAAGCTCAGTTTTCAACATTCTTTTATATGACAATTTATCAGTACCTAAAGATTTATGAGGGACATCATAAGTTTTTAGTAATGATAATTATTTATAAGGGTAGATTGTCACTATTAAAAGCTAGAGCTTCGCTTGCTAAGGGTATCAGCAATGAGTATAAAGCCACTATCATAAGTTTTGTACAGTAGGCAATCAATATATTAAGACAAATGGTGATTTGTCTTCAGCAGAAGATAAAATAAATAATATATATCAATAAATTGCATTCCTATTTTCTCTGACCCTCCGCCTATTCCAGATTTTCTCTGATATACCCTGCATTCGCGTAATGAAATTTCCAGTTAATATGCCGTTGAAACTCAATATAAATTAATTGCCAAAATATAATAAATTATTTTAAAAGATACCCTTATTCAGTTGTTTGTGTAAAACACTTGAATTTGGCTTCTAAAACAATTTTGTATTTAGTTTACTAATGCTAGTGGCTCAAAAACTTTCTACGAGATATGCAGCATATCATATTGAAAATTGGAAACTTCGTACTTAACCACACATGAGCACAAATTTAAGGCTTGAGAACTAGTAAAACTTTGAGCATTAGATCAGTTAATCAGGTGTTGGATATGAAGACCGAGATGCTGTGGCCTTTTGTTTTGTCATAATATCCTTCATCTGTATAATGTTAGTTTGACCTCGTTTTCACAAATTGGTTGGGGCGAAAGAGAGGCCATGTGAAATTTGTCTAGTAGTACGTTCCCTGTCATAGTATTAATGATGATTTCCGGCATCGTACTGATGACTTGGTACATTCCCAAGCATTTCCCTTGCATAGTCAGTGAGAGGCGCCATCGTAAGCATAGAGTTACAACTTATTGAAGTAAAAATAAAGGCAATCCCCTTGACAAATTCCATCTTCAATTGTTGTGCCATCATTCTTCGCGCCTATTTTGGTCATACATTTTTGCGTTGGACGTAAGATACCAAGCATGGTCCCGCACACAAACGCACGCCATAGACAAACTGAAATTTTTCTCCCCAGCTTGGTTTCCATACACTGCTGTATTTGAAATTGGCTTGGATATCTAGCCTTGCACCTCTAATGGTGTAAAACTTGCATGTTTCTGGCCTTTAATTTCCTTTGCTACAGATTGACCTACACTTGTCAGGCTGATTCGTGGTTTGACTTCCCTTACTGCAATCGCCTTTTCTTTACTGCCATTTTTCCTCATGCTCCTCTTATTCCTCTATTCTTGTTGTTGGACATATATCATTTATCAAACAACTTCTTTTAGCTCTTCTCGTTAAATCTCTAAGTTTGTCCAGGCAGTATACATAGTTCTCGCTAAATCTCTTTTATCTATTAGGTCTCCCTGAGCTTCCGTTCTCTGGAGTCATCCTAGTATTAGGACATTATTTCCGTTGCTCTCTAGTAAATTGTGCGACCGGTAAGGGCAATGTATTTAGATATAAGGGATCTTTCCGTATCAATTGTTCTGTAGTTGCTGTTGTTCATTGATCATTGTGATGATTGTCCTTTCAGCCTTTCTAATGTAGCTTGATTTGCAGTCCTGATAGTTCATACTGTAAACGCAAGAAACTCCATTTTGTTGAATGTTTCATGTCTTTTTATTTGTTGTTCAACTTTAATGAGAGCGCCGTCAGCTTCCAAGGCAGCTCATAGGAAAGTAGACATATCAATCATTTTTTTACTGCTTTCCTTGCTCTACTTCCATAATCTTCGCCTGGCCACCTGCACATCACAATCCGTATGTTGCATCTTATTGCTTCGTCTGGATATCCGTTTCAAAGAAACATCTGAGTTCGTTTTTCCTGTTATTCTTCCGATAACTCATAATCGGTAAGTCATAGGCCTATTATAACCATACTATTGAGTATTCCCATCTTTATTCCATGAGCATGGTTAAATTTGAAGTTAATAGTTATTCCATCATGCGATTTCTTTCAGAAATCAAGACTCACCAAAAGTTCGTTTCCTTTCAAAATGATGTCGGGCGAACTTCGCATGAGTTCTTCATTGTATTTGATAATGTGTCATTAACTTTCTTTAATTTGAGGCAGATAAATTTTGCCAGCCTATGTTTTGGTCCGTGGTTGTTGTTGAGTATCAGCAGGAATGCTTCCTTCCTTTGTAAGCCTTCGGCAAGCTGTATGCTAGTAGAGCTCTTGCATCCTTTTGTATGATTTAATTCATTGTCCATTGTTTGTAATCATTTTCTTCAGAATTTTTTGCGCAGCCCATTTACTTTTAAATGTTGCGCCCTTTGTTAGCAGCTGTGTTGGCTGCTGTGTCTCATATAATATTTTCCATTTTCTCTGTATTTTCCTAACTATCTATCACTACTGTGACACCTCTTTTAGCAAATTGCAAAACTATTTATTCGTTTCTTTCAAATTGTTATACATCTCGGTTATATTGTTCTTATTCGTGGGTTCTTAGTGCCCCAAGATTATTGAAATTCTCTCCATTTTCAGCCTTTTTTTAATTTTCCCGTAGCTTCTCTGATACATTTAGCATCACCACTCAAATTTTCTTTATTTCCTTCTTTCTATTCGAAAGTTCCAAATATATTCATTTTCTGAGGATTTCTGTAGATTTAGATCAGTAGGGACGAAAGAGTGATTCACTACATTATCTTGATTACTTGTCTGGACTGTGATATTCGTCTTTTTTAAAGCAGCTTCGTTATTTCAGGGTAGTTTTACCTTGGACTGTCTATAGATCCCATATTTATTCATCTTTATTTAGTGCCTTTTTTAATTAAGTCTGAAATCCCTTTCGCCATTTTGTAGTCAAAGAAAATCCTCCTAAATTACGATCCTACTCAAATCTTGCTTGAGTATAGATTTAGTATCCAAATAATTCAATAATTTTCCCCTTTACCTATCATATGTTTTATTTACTTTTGCAGAGAAGCCAGATATACTATAACATTGACCCTGCTAGAATGAGATATTCCCAACAAATTGCAAAAATTAGGCGGGATGACATAACAATTATAAAATTTTTAGAAAAAAACAACTAACAGCATAGGCTTACGATTTTCTGGCGATCCTACTACCACAATTAAACCTTGGATATGTAGACCATGTTGGTGCGTGCTTTTGTTCGATCGCAATCTCCTTTGGCTGTATATTATTGGTTTGACCTAGTTTCCACGACTCAATCAGAGTGACAGAGATATTTTGTAAAACCTACTTGGTCCTGCGTCTTCTGTGATAATATCGATGAGAATTTCCTACTTTGGATCTTTGATTTGGTTCATTCCCAAGCGTTTATTTACCGTCATTAATTTCAATACTCTGACTTGCATTAAAGCTGCAGTAAAGCTCCAATGTCCATCTCATGATCCACATACTTTATTTAATGTACCATCTCGATCTTATATTTATTTGAGCCAGAATGATGTGTCGGTTCATAATATTAACAATATTAGTATAAAAAAGATTTAAAAACTCATAAAATAACTTTTGCTGTTAAGATTTGTTATTTTAATTTTTTAGGACACTTTAGATATATTTAAAGTATTTTTTTACGTTCTTTTACTCGCTCGGTTTTGTATTTCCAAGTTCTTTGCGTTCTCTCATACTGTTGCCAGTCTTTCCAATGCTTCGTCGCAGCTTAACGGCCTTTATCCCTAGATCCTTGATCCCTGCCCGAAATTTTTTTATTTCTCCAAAGCACTTATACTATACTGATGGACCAAGGGAACCAACAGCTCCGATTCCTGACAGGATCCCAAACTGGACTAATGATCTTAAGGAAATATTTGGCAAATTAAAAAACAGTAATTAGCTCACGTATTTATGTATTTTAGATTCAAATGTTTTCCTCCATGGCGGTGCTGCTACCCCAAGCCATCTGCTTTTGTCGCTGCACAAATACGTAATGGGCGAGAACCTGAAAGGAATCAAACTCTTCCATATTCACACCGAAGGCCCTTATCCTTTCACTGAAGGCGAGTCGGCTAAGCACTTTCGTTCATCTTCACTTTTTGTGGCCAAAAATTGCAGATCTGCAATCAATTCCGGAATCGCAGACTACACTCCTATTTACCTTAGCGAAATACCTCATTTGTTTAGACGTAATCTGATTCCTCTTGAATTTGCCCTCATTAACGTATCCAAACCTGACATACATGGATTTTGTTCCCTCGGTCCTAGCATCGATATCGCCAGGGCAGCTGTTCAAAATGCCAAGTTCATTGTTGGTACGCGCAAACTCTTTAACTTTTCTCTTAGCTCAGGTCAACAGACACGTGCCGTTTTCCAGAGGAGATGCTGGCATACATATAAGTCACATTGACTATTTGGTTCAGTGCGATGAGCCCTTACATGAAATGGGATCCTCAAAAATTTATCCAGAAGACGTTAGTATTGGCAAAATTATATCAGAAAAGCTCGTATCTGATGGCGCTACGATACAAATGGGTAATTACTTATATTGATTTACTTATTCCCTTCTTTATCCTTTTATCTATGGTTGTGTTACTTTAGGGATTGGATCGATACCTGAAGTCGTTCTTTCACAACTTGGAGGTCACAAGCATCTTGGCGTGCATACAGAAATGTTTTCTGATGGATTAGTAGATCTTGTTAAAGCTGGTGCTGTAACCAATGCTCTGAAATTCAATCGTCCAGGAAAAATTGTCGCAACCTTTGTTATTGGCTCAAAGAAAGTTTACGATTTCATCGACAACAATCCATTGGTTGGTAAGTAGGTAACCCACAATATTTTGAGGTTGAGTCGGTTAGTAAGACATGGATTAGATTAAAGTATTTATTTTAATAGTCTTAGGATCTTTGCATCTTTCTTATACTGCTTTTGTCTTATGCTGCTATTTTTTAGCATACTGTTATAGTATTCACACATGTTTTTCTAGACATGGTTGATGTATCCTGGGTCAACTCTCCTTATGTGATCGCTCAGAATCCTCAGCCGACCTCTATCAATTCTTGTATCGAGGTGGATATTACGGGACAGGTCGTCTCCGGATCTATTGGAGACAAGATTTATTCAGGTAAATAAATTAGGTGGCACATTTTCTTACCCTTACTCATTACTTCATGTTAGGTTGCTCTAAACATTTATTGATCTGTCATTTTACAATTTATTAATTTTGATTTCTTATATTCCCATTCACTTATCATTATGTTATTATTAAAAGGTCACTAGGAACTAGTGTTCCTATTTGCTAAAATAAACTGTTTTATAACTTAATTCCTTTTTAACTTTGATTTAACATCA